TGCAGACAAATGTGGTTGTAGTAACTTGGATTCTAAAGGTTAAAAATAAGCATTAAGTTAATCTCTTAAAGACCATCATTATTTTGCAGTCCAGCCAACTGAGAGTATGAACAGTCACACCAATAAAAACTGGGAAAAAGCAGATTCCCTCCTCCTCCTTTGTCCAATTCTGCCATTTCCCAACAGGCAATTCCCCCCCTTTTTTCCCCAGTTTTTTTCTCTCCTACACCTCTGATTACAACACCCACCAACGTGGTGGTGTCAAACACACACCAAGAATTTGGCTTTTCTGGGATCAGGACTGAATAAATTAACAAAAAAAGGGCGACTGTTGAGGTTATTTCCACTTTTAAAAAGCACTTTGGGCTGGGGAAGAAGCTCCAAGACAACTTTTAACCACAGATTCTGACGCTGCCGCTCGGAGTTTCCAGTTTTGCTGGCAAACAGGTGACAGAGCAGGAATTCCAGCCCCTCCCCGTGCTTTACCTGGGTGGTCTGTGCATATCCTTGGGCTGGCTGAGGTGCATAGGCGCTGTAGCTGTGGAGTGAATGTAAAGACATTTATAATCTTGCCCCAAATCTGCATCACCAGACCAATTTCATGCAGCCCGATGGTTTCTTGCTGAGATTCTATGGAAATACGAAGCTCCAGGAAAACCCTCAGGATTCCCAAACATACCTGAGTTAAGCCCAAGCCATAATTATGATTTACTTTCATTACATCTTTTTAAAACAGGGAGGATAAGCTACTTACCCCTGCTGAGCTGCAGCTTGGCTATAGGTACTGTAATCTAAAAGAAAAGGAGAAGAAAAAGAATAAAAACGTTGATAAAGGCTTAATGAAATTAAAGAGCCCAAGAGCACAGCAGCTGGAATTTCCTCCTGCAGCTCACTATAAACCACTGGAATTCCAGCTTCCCAAGGGTGGAAGGTAAATGCACATTTTCAGCCCTCCTTTTTGAGGGGAACAAAACCTCCCTTCCCCTCATTGTTCCTGCTGTTTGCAGCAGCCACTTTGATCTCAAATGACCCCGGTTCCATTTAACCGCCACCTTGGATGGATCCCAGGGGGCTGGCAGGGGGGGATTGGGGCTGGAACAAAGGAAAAGCAGGGATTGGAGCCTTACAAACCCAGCACCCTGCTTTGAAAGGGCTGGGCTGGAAGGTTTCACCACCTTCACTCTTCCAAGGACACAAATGGATGGCTGGAAAGCCACTTGTCCCCTGGAAGGGCTGGAGCTGGGGAGGTGGGAGTGATTCCCTTCCAGACCCTCAATCCATGGCAGCCCCTGGCTGGGAGGAGAACCAAACCCTGAAAACCCCAGCAGCAAAGCCTGTGCTGAACTGATTTGCTGGCAGGGATGGAAAATGAATCCACATGGCAATTAGGAGGCTGAATTTGAAGCGACTGCAGCTCCCAGTCCCCCACGGGCAGCAGCAGCTCCAGCTGCCACGCCAGGGTCTGCAGCAGGGATGGATTCAGCATTCCCAGCAGGCCTGGCCAGAGATGCCAGCCCTGCCAGAGCACAGGCCTGGCATCAGGAAGGAGCCCAGAAGCTGCAGGTGGAGGGCACAGCCAGGAGCTGGGCCAGTGGAGCTGCTCCCAGGCACCCCAGTGGGGAAGAGTTCCCACTGCTGCCACCACAGAAATCCAAGTTTCTCCCAGAATCATGGAATACCCCGAGGTGGGAGAGACCCACGTGGATCAAGTTCAACTCCTGCACTGGAGAATTTGAGGAAGCAAATTCTGCCTGGCTGTGGTGCCATTGTCCCACTGTTCCCAAGGCCGTGGGGCCCCAGGATCCCTTGGGAAGCACAGCTTCCACCCTGCTCCTCAGCCATCCCTGCCCAGCTCCAGCTGTGCTCCCAGCTTCTCCTGCTCCCTGTGCAGGAGCAGAGCCCCTGGATCCCTGCTGCAGGCAGGAACGGCCCCGCTGTGATCCCAGCAGGAATTCCTGGCAGTTGTTCATCCCTCTGACCTTGCCCACAACACCTCACACAGAGAAAGAAGACACTTGGAGCTCCCCAAAGCTTTCCCTGCTCCCAGGACACAAGGCACAAGTTGTTAAACTCCTCGGGCAGCATTCCCACTTCCCTCTCAGGTTGGCACGTGGGATATTGGAACATTTTCCTTGTTCAGTTCAGGGTTCTGCGTTTGGTTTTCTTTTTTTTTTCTTTCACTTTACACATGGTTCTGTTAAATCCTGAGTGCTAATTAATGCCTGGTCCCTCTCATCCAGCTTCCCTTTCCTACCACTCCACTCTTTTCCCTGCTCACCCTCCAGCCACCAAAACCTCATTTAATTCTCCGTTTTCAGCCCATTTTGGCCTCCAGCTCCACACAGGGGTATCAATTAACCCCTCTCCTCACAGCCCTCCCCAGTCCCACCTAAACCCAACATTTCCCCCTCTGTAGGACTGAATTCCAGGTGTGGAATTTGCAGTTTGCCTGTGGTGATGCCTCTCTCTTAATTTGCTGGGATTTAGAGGAACATAGAACATTAATAAAAAATAATATTATGGTTCATTTAGCTAAACCCATCTCCTGGCTTTTATTTCCAGGGGGAAATTAATCTTCATCCCTTTATTTCACAAGGCTCAGGAGCACACCAGAGGCTGAAAATAGCAGCTCCCAGGAGGAACAATTCCATGAATTAAGGGAAAACACAGCTGTGGTTTTAACTCCTGTCCCGACAATTCCATTGGCAGATGTTCCTTTACTGACTTTTCTTTTTCAAGCTCCCCAAGGTGCTGCTGGTGATATTCCCTCACACTCCATGGCCTGGGAGATTTTCCTTGCTGGAAAAAAGGAAAATCCTCCTTCTTTCAAGGAGTCACATCTTGGGCTGCTGGGCTTCAAGTACTTTAAAGGTGTACTGAGCTGGGGAGTCTCAGTTTCCAACTATTTGCATCCAGCTGGAGCCCTCGTGGAAAAACGTTTCATTCAGAAAAATTTGAAGCCATGAAGATGATAGAACACCTCAGTTCCCTATGGAGAAAAGCTGGGAGAGGAGAAGGCTCCAGGGAGAGCTCAGAGCCTCCTCAGATGCCTAAAGGGGCTCCAGGAGAGCTGGAGAGGGACTGGGGACAAGGGATGGAGGGACAGGACACAGGGAATGGCTCCCACTGCCAGAGGGCAGGGATGGATGGGATATTGGGAAGGAATTCCAGGCTGGGAGCGCTGGAAGGGAGATCGCAGAGGATGCTCCAGGCCGGGCAGTGCCCAGGGCCGGGCTGGCCGGGCTCGGAGCACGCTGGGGCGGCGGGAGCTGTCCCTGCCCCGGGCCCGGCTTTCGGCTCCCTCCCACCCAAACCCCCCAGGACCCCAAACTCGCTCCCAGCCCGCCCGGCCGGGCAATCCCGCGGGGCCGCAGCTCCGCCAGGCCGCGGCTGCTCCCGGGGCACTGAGGGGAAACACCCGCGGCCGCGGCGAGGCGCTCCGCAGCGCGGGTCTGCCGCCTCGCCGGGCGCTTCCCCCCCCGCCGGGCGGCGGGATGGTACGGCCCGCGGCCGTTAGGGACCGTCGCGCAAGAGGCGCTCGGGCCGCGAGGCGGAGCGGGAGCGCGGCGGGGGCGTGACGTCACGGGCGGCGTACTGATGTCATTGCGGCGCAACGGGCGGCGCGGGGCCGCCGTGACGTCACGCACCGTGCCCGGCGGCACGCGGCCAGCCCTGCGTGTTCACGCGGCCGCCTGACGGCGCCTCCTGGCACGTGAGGTCACCGGGTGTCACCTGCCAGCGGGTGACGCCATGGGCTACATGTGACGTCACCAGGTATCACAGGTCACGTGCCAAGAAGCGGCACCGGTGGTTGGGGTCTCGCACTGTGCCCGGCATTGCACCCTGCCCACGTTGTGAGCGTGATGGAGTGACGTCACTGTGTGACATCACTGTGTGACATCACTGCGTGACATCACCACATCCCATGAGGACACGGGAGGGGTGCGGGTACCGCGTGTCCTGCGCGGACCTGAGGGTGTCCCGGGCTGTGGTGGCACAGCAGGGTGTTCATGGGTGGCGTGACACTGGTGGCTGTCCAGGGGTGACAGTGCATGGATTGCTGTCACAGGCGGGTGGGTGTCCCATGGCGCGCCCATGTGTCCCTTGGTGTCCCTGAATGTCATCCCACTGCATCCCGACCCATCCCATGGATCTCATCCCGACCCATCCCATCCCATGGATCCCACTGCATCCCGACCCATCCCATCCCATGGATCCCATCCCACAGATTCCAGTCCATCCCATGGATCCCATCCCATGGATCCCATCCCACAGATTCCAGTCCATCCCATGGATCCCATCCCATGGATCCCATCCCATAGATCCCAGTCCATCCCATGGATCCCATCCCTACCCATCCCATTCCATTGATCCCATCCCAACACATCCCATCCCATGGATCACATCCCATCCCCATCCCATCCCATCCCATCCCATCCCATCCCATCCCATCCCATCCCATCCCATCCCATCCCATCCCATCCCATCCCATCCCATCCCATCCATCCCATCCCATCCCATCCCATCCCACTCTGTCCTCCTCATCCCTTATCCCGTGCCCTCGGTGCCGGTGTCCCCTGGGATGTCCCTGGCGCCCCAAGTGACCCCACAGCACGCGGGTTTGGGGACATTTAATGCCCTGGGGTCCCAAAGCAGCGAAGCGCGCGGCGCAGCGGGGTTCATCCCATCCCATCCCATCCCATCCCATCCCATCCCATCCCATCCCACTCTGTCCTCCTCATCCCTTATCCCGTGCCCTCGGTGCCGGTGTCCCCTGGGATGTCCCTGGCGCCCCAAGTGACCCCACAGCACGCGGGTTTGGGGACATTTAATGCCCTGGGGTCCCAAAGCAGCGAAGCGCGCGGCGCAGCGGGGTCCCCGCCCGGGGGTCCCCACCTCCGGCCCCCCAATCCCCCCCCGGCTGGGGTGGGACAGAGCCCGTCCCCCCGGCGCTGCCCCGTGGCAGGGGGACAGGAGTGGCCCTGGGGACAGCCCCGGCGCTCCCGGGGCCCGAGCAGCGGCGGGGGCGAAGCGTCCTGCGGGGGCGGTGCCGTGCCACCAGTAGCACCAAGAGGGGGCACGGGGCTGACCCGGGCCTGCTCCCCAGGGTGGCACGGCGGGGTGGCCGCGGTGATGTCCCCGTCCCCGTCACGGCTCGGGGGGGGCGCGGCGGGCGGTGACCGTGCGGGACGGGGGGCGGCCGCTGCCCCGCCTGCCGCGGGGCACCCCGGGGGTCGCCGTGCCGGGGGCACCGCTGCCCGAGCCGGGCTCTGCCTCTGCGGGAAGAGAGGACAAAAGGGGAGTGTCGGGGGTGGGATGTCACCCCCCGCTCCAAAAACCCCCCGAATCAGCGCTGGGGGCTGTGCTGTGGGTGTTGTGCCCCCCAGAAACGGGGGTCATTGCCCCTCTGTGGCTCTGGGTGTCCCCAGCCACCCCTGGGGACACCCGCCCGAGGACCCCCCAGCTGGCACCCCTGCCTGGCACCCCCGCTTGGAGCCCTGAGGAAAAGCAGAGCTGGAATGGGGAGGGGGAGGAGGGGTGAGGGTGGGGGGCACCCTGGCACAGGGGGTGGCACCAGGGATCCCTGGGGACAGCGGGAGCGCTGGGAGCTGCTTCAGCCCGGGAGGGTCCCGTGGTCTGCTGTGAGCCCGGGGGGCTCCGTGAGCCTCCCTTGGCTCCAGGGGTCTCCATGGTCTCCAAGGATTTCCTGGAGCCCTGGGGAGCTCCAGGGTTTCCCTTGGCCCAAGAGGGGCTCCGGGGTCTGCCGTGGTTCCAGAGGGGCTCTGGAGCTTCCCTTGGCCTTGGGGGACCTCCATAGGTCCCCTTGGTCCCAGAGGGGTATCCATGGTCTCTTTTGGAGTGAGAGGGTCTCTCCAGGGTCTCCCTGGAATCCTAAAGAGCTCCGGGGTTCCTCTTGATCCAAGAGGGGTCTCCATGGGCTCCTTTGGAGTGAGAGGGTCTCTCCAGGGTCTCCCTGGAATCCTAAAGAGCTCCGGGGTTCCTCTTGATCCAAGAGGGGTCTCCATGGGCTCCTTTGGAGTGAGAGGGTCTCTCCAGGGTCTCCCTGGAATCCTAAAGAGCTCCGGGGTTCCTCTTGATCCAAGAGGGGTCTCCATGGGCTCCTTTGGAGTGAGAGGGTCTCTCCAGGGTCTTCCTTGAACCTTGGCGGGCTCCAGAGTTCCCTTGGCCCACAAGGATCTCCATGGTCACCTCTCAGTCCAAGAGTATTTCCATGCTTGGCTCTCTCAGTCCAAGAGGAACTCCATGGTCACCTGTCCCAGAGTATTTCCACGGTCACCTCTCCCAATCCAGGAGGATCTGCATGGTTGCCCCTCTCAATCCAAGAGTATTTCCATGTTTGCCTCTCAGTCCAGGTGGATCTTCACGGTTGCATGGCTGAATCCAAGAAATCTCCATGGCTGCTCCTCTCAATCCAAGAGTGTTTCTATGTTTGCCTCCCTCAATCCAAGAGTATTTCCATGGTCACCTCTCAATCCCCAGGAGGATCTATGGTTGCCTCTCTCAATCCAAGAGTATTTCCATGGTTGCCCCTCTCAATCCAAATGGATCTCCATGTTTGCCTCTCCAGTCCCAGAGGATATCCATGGTCGTCCCTCTCAATCCAAGGGCATTTCCTCGGTCGCCCCTCTCAGTCCAAGAGTATTTCCATGGTTGCCCCTCTCAATCCAAGGGCATTTCCTCGGTTGCCCCTCTCAGTCCAAGAGATCTCCATGGTCACCTCTCAATGCAGGAGGATCTCCATGGCTGCCCCTCTCAATCCAAGAGTATTTCCTCAGTTGCCTCTCTCAATCCAGGAGGATCTCCATGGCTGCCCCTCTCAATCCAAGCAGGTGTCCGGGCTCTCCCGTGCCCGGAGCTCTCCGCTGCCCTGTCCTGGTGGCTCCAGCCCCCCGTGCTCCTCGGCCCTCCCGGGGTGCCCGGCGCTCGGGGCTGGCGCGGGGCGGGCCGGGGGTGGTTACCTGGCCAGATGATGGCTTCCAGCAAGGTGACCCTTCCAGCCAGGACCTCCAGCCGGGCCTGCTGCCGCAGGAGGGTTTGGAAGCTACTGGCCTGGGGGAGAGGGAGAGAGCAGAGCAGAGCAGAGCAGAGCGCGCTGGCCCCGCGGCGGGCACGGGACAGGCACGGGACAGGCACGGGACAGGCACGGGGACACGGCAGGGGTGGCACAGCATGGCAGGGGCACGGCAGGGGTGCAGCCCCAGCAGCATGGGGGTGCTGGGGCACGAGGAGGGGGTGCCAGGTCTCCTAGGAGGGTCCTCCCGGTGTCATAGGGGTGCCGGGGGCTCCCCCATCCCTGCGGGTCCACGGGGACAGGGAGGGCCCCTTGTGCTGGCTTGATGTCCCTGATGGGGACACTGATGTCCCTGACCTGGGGGTGCTCCCTCTGCCACCCCCAGCTCAGTGAGCTCCCAAAATGTGGGGGGACACATCCCCAACCTTCTCAGAGGGCCACCAGCGTGTCCCCAACACTGAGACTGCCACAGGTGTCCCTGCCCGGGGGGGGCAGTGCCTGGGGGGCTCTGGGGTGCCCAGCTGGGGTGAGGCTGGGGGGACCCTGGTGGCCCTTCCTTTGAGTGGTCCCCAGGGCTGGCCACCATGCCACCATGTGGGTGATGACAAGGGCCACCGTGATGTCATGGCGGTCTGGTGACCTCCTGGCAGGGGTGGGGGTCACCCCGGGGGTCCCGTCCCCCTACTCACCGTAGAGCCCAATCATTGTTTCCAAGATTAAAACCCTCTCGGCTAAAATCTTGAGCGCCTCGCGGAGCTGGTGCAAACCCTCCCCCTGGGAAGAGAGGGACAGGGTCAGGGGGGCTGCACCCCAGATGGCCCCAGGCCACCCCCGGGGGGGACACGGCACCCCCCGACTCACCACGACTCCAGGGGAAGGAGAGGGGGAACCCCCGGGGGGTCTGAGCCCACCCTGAGCCCCACCACCCAGTTTGGGTGACATTGGCACTGCGTGACACTGGCCAGGGACCCCCAGAGCCACCTTTGGGGTGCTGGGGATGAGGCATGGCACTGAGCAGAGCTGGGGACACCCAGGACATCACTGGGGACCCAGGGACAAGCTGTGGGAACAAGTGGGGACGCTGAGGACATCACTGGGGTCCCAGAGGTGCAGAGGACACAGGGAGGGTGTCGGGGTTCTCCCGTGCCCACCCCCCCAGCCCAGCCCCCGCTGGCAGTGCCCTGTGTCCCTCCCGTCCCTGCTGTCCCCGGTGCCACTCACCCAAGTGCCCCTCTCGCCCGGCTCGCCCCGGGGGCCCGGCTCGCCCTGAAACAGAGAGGAGAGGGGCTGGCAGGGGGGGCACGGGGGGCTGCGGCCGGGGGGAGCCCCCCCACCCACGTACCTGTGCCCCGTCCTGCCCGCGGCTGCCCGGGTGGCCCTGGGGACCCTGCGGGGGGACAGAGCCCATCAGCACAGGGACACGGCCACAGCCCCGCCAGGGGACATGCTGGCAGAGCCATGGCTGAGACACACAGCAGACCCCCCAAACCCCCCCATTACCGCACACCAACCCCCCCAAACCCCCCCATGACCCCACACCAGACCCTCCAACGCCCCCATGACCCCACACCAGACCCTCCAACCCCCCCATGACCCCACACCAGACCCCAAACCCCCCCATTACCACACACCAGACCCCGCAACCCACAACCCCCAAACCCCACCATGGTCTTGAACCCCCAAGTCTCCCCATGCCCACACATCTCAGCCCCAAACCCAGCCCCCCACATCTCCCCCCAGCCCTGAACCCCATCCCCTAAACACCCCCATGGCCCCCAGCCCCATTCTGGGGGTGGCTTTGGGTGGGGGGACACAATCCTGGGGACACTGCCCACAGCCACACCCCATGGCCGGGTCCCCAGGGACTCTGGGGACAGGGGCTTGGGACCACCCAGCAGGGACGGGGTGTCTGGAGCAGAGGTGGCCCCCAAACCATGCCCTGCCACGGCCACCACAGGGGACACCAGCAGCTGCCCGGGTGGCCCTGGGGACCCTACGGGGACACAGAGGCTGTCAGAGCCCCTGGGGGGCAGGGCCAGCCCCCCCGGCTGTCACCCCCAGCCGGTGTCACGGTGTGGGGCTGGGGGCACTCACCCTGTCCCCCTTCTCCCCGGGGGCTCCGGGCGCTCCTGCTCTGCCCTGTGCGGGGACACGGCGGGGACATCAGCCCTGGGGGGCCACGGGGGCTCAGCCCTCCCCTGCCCCCCACCCCGCACTTACATCGGGTCCTGGGGGCCCGGGGGGACCAGTGGGACCCGGGGGGCCGGGGGGACCTGCAAGGACAGGGACACAGCTGAGCCCCGCACGGGGGCACCGAGAGCACGGGGGTGACAAGGGACAGGGACACCCTCACCCATCGGCCCCGCGGGTCCGGGGGGTCCCACGGGACCCGTGACGCTCCCGGTGGCTTCGGTGAAGGTGTTGGAGAGGACGGGGTCCCCTGGGGGGAGAATGGAGGGGGCGTTTGGGGCAGGGCCCCCGTGACCCCAGCATCACCTGGGGACACGGGGGGGCCACATTCCCCTGCCCTGTGCGTCTCGTCCCTGTCACCCCAATGATGGCAGGAGGTCCCCAGCTCTTCCCAGCACCCCACACCTCATTCCCGGGACCCCAATGATGGCAGGCGGTGCCCCCACCTCATGCCTGGAATCCTGGGGGTGTCAGGGGTCCCCAGCTCTGCCCAGTGCCCTACATGTCATCCCCAGGACCCCAGTGACACCCAGGATGTCCCCACACCACCCCCAGCCCAGGTGATGCTCAAACCCCCCAGCTGTGCCCTGCCCCCAGCCCAGTCCCGTTTTGGGGTCACGGGGAGGGGACCCCAGCCCAGCCCCCCTTACTGGGCTCGGCCAGCCGGGGAATCGCCGGCCCCACAGGGGCAGGGGGGCCCGGGGGGCCGGGGGGCCCGGGGGACCCCTTCTCCCCAGGGAGCCCCCTGGCTCCATCCCGGCCGGGCGGTCCTGGGGGGCCGGGGGGACCTGCAGGGAGGAAGAGGAGGGTGAACATGGGGGCTGTGCAGCGCTGGAGCCCTTCCGAGCCCCCAAATGGACCCCCCAAATCTGCCCACCAGGAAAGGGGGGGCTCGGCCGGGGTCCCCCCGCACTGTCCCCCCGTACCTGGTGGCCCCGCTGGACCCTTCACCCCGGGGATTCCCGAGGGTCCCCGTCCTCCCGCGTCGCCCTTGGGGCCGGGGGGTCCCCTCCAGCCGGGTCTCCCTGCGGCACAGCAGCACCCTGAGGGGGGGACCCCGGGGACAGCCCCTCGGGGTGCCCCCCACCCACTCCCGGTCCCGCAGAGCTGGCCTGTCCCCGCGGGTGGCTCGGTGTCACCGCTGGGGACAGCTGCGGTGGGACAGCTTTGCTTTTCCCCCAAAGTGAGGGGTCCTGCCCCCCCAAATGTTGACAACACCCAGGCGCGTTCCCCGCCCTGCGGGTGCTGCCACTGGCACTGCCACTGTCACTGGCACTGTCACTGTCACCCTGCCTTACCGTCATCCCCGGGGCTCCCGCGGGCGGCCGGGGACCCCCAGAGCTGCCCGGCCGGGGGTCCCCTGCCCGGGCTGCTGCCTTTGGGCGCTGCGGGCACGGGGGGCTCGGCCACCGCCAGCCGGGCCACCTGCCAAAGACACGGCGCGCTGGGTGACAGCAGGGGACACAAGTGACACCCCCAGGGCCCTTGTGCCCCTCGGGGGGAGCGGGGGGGTGGCCGGAGCCCAAAGCGGGACTTGCCTGCGCCTCGAGGGAGGCGAGCCGGGCTGTCAGCTCCCCGACACGGCTGCAGTTCAGGCACCCTGCGGGGCAAATCGGGGGCACAGGCGGTGGGGTGGGGGGCAGCCGGGCCTCTGTGCCCGCCCCAGCGGGTTTGGGGGGGGGGACCCACCTGAGAAGGCCGTGGGGTGCAGGGGGGGCCGGCGGGGGGCGGCGCTGGGGCGCCCGGGGTCCCGCAGGGTGAGGGAGGTGAGAGCCTCTGCCGAGGAAAGGGGGGTCAGCACGGGGGGACCCCCCCGGGGGGCATCGCCTCCTGTGGGAGACCTTCCTGTTGTACTGCTGGGGGTGCAGGGCCCCACCCCTGCTCGGGGTGAGCCTCAGAGCCCGAGGCCCACCCACAACCCTGAGTCAGGATCCCCCAAACCCACCCATGGCCTTGAACCAGCCCCCCAAAACCCTCCATGGCCACACACCAGATGGCCCCAACCCACAACCCTCAAACCCACCCACGAGGTTAAGGTCCTTAACCCTTAACCCGACCCCCCAAATCTCCCCATGACCACTCCCCCCCAATCTCAGCCCCAAACCAGCCCCAGTCCCCCTCAGTTCCCCCCTCAGCCCTGAACCCCATCCCCCCAAACACCCCCACCCCCATTCCGGGGGTGGCTTTGGAGGGGGGGCACAATCCTGGGGACACTGCCCACAGCCGCCCCCCACAGTGGGGTCCCAGGCCCCTGTCCCCGCCGAGGGATCCTGGGGACAACGGCTTGGGGCCACCCAGCGCGGCAGGAAAGGGGTGTGTGGAGCAGAGGGGGCCCCCCGAGCCCCCCCATGCTGTCACCCCACCCCGGCACGGCCACCGCCGTGCTGCAGGGGACAGCCCTAAGTGGGGCCAGATGTGGGGCAGGCGGCCAAGCACGCAGGGAGGAGGAGGAGGAGAAAGAGGAGGAGGAAGAGGAGGAGGAAGAACCCCCCGCCTCTCCCAGCGCTGCGCCCACCCTGCTGCCCCCGGACCCCCTGTGCCACCCGCTGCCCTGCAGAGCCTCGGTGCCACCCCACGGTGTCCCCACCCCTGGGTGCCACCCGCTGCCCTCGCAGCCCCGGATCCACAGAGCCAGGGATGCGCTGGGACCCGCAGGGGGGTCCTGGGGGAGCAGCAGCAGCAGGAGGAGGAGGAGGAGGATGTGGTGACAATGGGGACAAAGACCCCCCTGTCAGAGCTGGCAGCGCCCAAGCACGGCACAGCCTCGCACCCATTCATCCACTGCCCACCCACACCCGGCCACTCGTGGCTGGGGGGCTGCAGCCCCTCGTGGGCACTGCCATGCCAAGGAATGTCCATCTGTCCATCCGCCCACACCCCGTCCATCGGCTGCTTCTGTTCCCCACACCAGGCACATCCCGCTGCCCCCCTCACTCCTGTCCCCCTGATGTCCATCCCCCGCCCCACCCAGGGATCTCTCTCCACACAGGGACACTCCCTCACCCGCCCGGGAAGTTCTGTCCAGCCGCCTGTCCCCTCATCTGTCCCTCCGTGGGCACAGCCAGCCATCCATACACAGGGACATCCACACACTAGCCCACCCATGGGAGAATCCTTCCCATCCATCCCACCTACCCAGACGTTCTTCTCCTCACCCACCCTCACCGGTGACACCAAGGCCGTGTCCCACAGCCCCTGGGTGCCACCTCCCCGCCCTGCCATGCCCCCATCCAGGCCATCTCCCACCTTGCTCGCAGCTGGCGCCGGCGTGTCCGGGGCAGCAGCGCCACTCCAGCGCCGTCAGTGTCCTGTAGGTCACCCTGTAGAGCGGCCGCACCACGGCGCGGTAGCTGCGGCACAGAGGGGAGCGCTCACGCCTGCCCTGGGGACATCTCGGCTGTCCCTGCTGCCAGGGCACCCCGGCGGCCCCGCTCACCTGCCCCCGCTGCAGGCCAGGGGCCAGCGGCAGCCCTGGAAGACCCTCTGGAGGAAGGTGCCGTTCTGGACGTGGCACGACACCGTCCGTGTCACCGTGTAGGAGCACCAGTTGCTGGAAGGGAAACCACCGATGTCACCAGGGACACCAAAAGGGTGCTGCCACCCCGGGAAATGCCCATCCCCGGTTTTTGGGGTGCCCATGGGGAGCCCTGCTGTGACACGTGGGGCTGCACATTCCTGCTGCATTCCCGGCAGCGCTGGCGCCATTCCCTGCAGTGGGCCCGACACCCCCCGTGCCCCCAGCCCACCCCACACAAAGGCTCCTTTCTTCTGCCCCACATGCCGGGCTCTGCCCACCCCTCCCCGGGCACCCCAGCCTCAGTTTCCCCCCCAGAAGGGGACACACTGGTGCCATGACACTGAATGTCCCCGTCCCCGCGGCGGGAAGGACTCGCCGTACCCCCGGCAGCTCTAAATTCAAAGGCTGCACAATTTGGGTCAAAAAATGAGCTTTTCGGGACCGCTGCAGTGCTGCAAGGAGGAGGCGGTGGCAGCAGGGACAAGCGGGCGCCGCGGGGGGACAATTGTCTGGGAGGTGCCGGAGGCGGGGGGGACAGCGGGGTGGCACAGGGCTTTCCGGCTGGGCAGCGTCCCAGGCGGGCACCGTGCCAGGGCTGTGCAAGCACAGAGCCCGCCGGGGCTGTCGCCACGCTCCCGCTGCCACCCCGCCATGCCAAGGGGTCCCGGGTGGCACTGTCCCCCCTGGAGGGGTACCCAGCTGCCGGGCGGTGCCAGCTCCAGCTGTGGCAATGCCTGTTGGGATGGGATGGGATGGGGATGGGTCCCGGCTCGTTTCCCAAGGGGAATGCCCTCCCAGGAGCGGGCAGGAGCTGGCAGGCTTTGGCATGTGAGCACCCGCGCGGCCCGGCGTGACCCCGGCCCACCCGGCACCGCTCTGGCACCGCGGGGTCCGGGCTCTGCTGCCAGGGTTTGTACCCACCCGGGGCAAAGCCCACAGCAGGTCTGGCTCCGAATCCCACTCCCATTCCCCAGATCCGCCGCTTGGCTTTGTGCCCCCGGCTCGGGCACGTGGGGTCCCAGCGAGGCGGCACGGAGGGATGGGTGGGATGGGGAGGGGGCTCGCGGGTGCTGGGTGCTGGCCTGGGGGTCCCGGGGGGACACGGCACGGCTGTGCCAAGGCGCCGGGGGCTTCCTGGGCTTGGCCGGGAGGGGAAGGGGAAATGAGGCGGCTTCTGCCCGTCGCCTCACCGAGCCGAGCGGAACCGGGAGGTCCCGGCAATCCGGTGCCGGAGACACGGCCAGAGCCAAGGGTTTCCTGTAAACAACCCCCCCATGCCGGCACCCCCCCGGCGCTGCGGCGGGACGGGGACCACAGCCCCCCAGGGCAGCCACAGACCCCCGGAGTGGGCCACCTCCAAGGGACGGGCAGGACCTGGGGCTGGGGGCTTTTCCTCTTCACCAACCCAGCACTCCCAGTAGCCCCAGCATGCCAAGACAGCCCCAGCACCCCCAGTAGCCCAGGGAGCCCCACCATGCCCAGCATGCCAAGGCCCAGCATGCCAAGGCAGCCCCAGCATCCCAATATGCCCAGGCAAACCCAGTAGCCTCAGCATGTCCCTGTATGCCCAGGCAGCCCCAGTAGTGCCAGTATGCCCAGCAGCCCCAAAATCCATCCCAGTAATCCCAGCAGCCTCAGCCCCAGTATGCCCAGGCAGCCCCAGGATCCCAAAATGCCCAGGCAGCCCCAGTAGCCCCAGCACCTCCCAGCACCTCCCAGCACCCTGCTGAGCCTGGCAGCTCTGATACCCCCAGTAAGTCCTGCCCAGTAACCCCCAGCCAGTCCTGCCGGCCCCAGTAGCCCCCCAGCCAGTCCTGCTGGCCCAGCAGCTCCCAGCCCCAGCAAGTCCAGCTAGCCACAGTATTTCCCAGTGCCCCCAGCCTCCCCTGCCCCAGCAGCCCCAGCACCACGGCCCACACAGCCTGCAGTGCCCAGCTGCTGGTGCCCGCCATCCGTGGTGCCCCTCTGGCTGGTACAGAGCCCCCCAGTACCCACAGAGCCCCGTGCCTGATGCCCCCTGCACCCAATGCCCCCATGGCTGATACCTTGGACCCCCGGTAGCCCCAGATGCCTGGAGTGTCCCAGGTGCCCACCTCCCTACGTCCCTGTGCCCGGAGCTCCCGGGTCCCTGACACCCCTGGTGCCGAGTACTCGGTGCACAATGCCCGCAGCTGCCGGTGCCTGGTGCCCCCCGGTACCCACAGCCCCTGGTGCCCCCGGTACCCGGTACCCACGGCCTGGTACTGGTACCCACAGCCCCCGGTGCCCCCGGCACCCACAGTCCCTGGTGCCCCCGGTAGCCGGTCCCCACAGCCCGGTACCCGGTACCCACAGCCCCCAGTGCCCCCGGTACCCACAGCCCCCGGTGCCCCCAATACTCCAGCCCCCGGTGCCCCCGGTAGCCGCTCCCCACAGCCCGCGGTGCCCGCAGCAGGCGGTGCTGCCCGGTGCCCGCATGCCCGTGTCCCCGGTGCCGGTACCTGCGGGCGGCGGGCGGCAGCAGGGCCGGGCTCCAGGCGGCGGCGGGCGGCGGCAGCAGGCAGAGGGACAGGCAGAGGGACAGGCAGAGGGACAGGCAGAGCCCCAGGGCTGCGGGCAGGGCCGGGCGGCGGCTCCCCCGGCCCCCGGCCATGCCGCTCCGCGGGGCTCGGCGCTGCCCGGCCACCGGCACCGGCACCGGCACCGAGCGGGCGGCGGGGGAGGGGAGGAGGAAGGAGGAGGGATGGAGGAGGGATGGAGGAGGAGGAGGGATGGAGGAGGGACCCCCCGCCTGCCCCCCCGCCTGCTGCCCGCCTTCCGCCCCGCCGGCGCAGGGGTCCGGCTGGCGGGGCGCGCACGGGGTGCGGGGGCAGTTTGAGAACTTGGGGGGCAAACCGGCCCCGGGGGGGGCAGGAACGGGGGGCCGGGGCACGTGCG